GCCGCAAATTCCTATGCGCTCTCAGTCAGACGCTCTAGACTCTGAAGATGAAGAGGGGATTATTTGAATCACAGGCGTAGTAGAGGGTTCTGTTCTGTGGCATTGAGGTGGAGGCAGGAGCTGTGCGACCAAGGTTGGGTGGAAATTTTGTGCCGTTTCGTCTTCGCAGATTTACGCGCCGCTTGTTGTGAAACGCCGAGTCGCGTTTCAAGGAGATCAAATTCGCCGTGTGTGGTGGGAAATGCGCCGTTTCGCCTCCTTCACCCAAGTTTACACAAACAAAATCGAACACATAACTACACTGTTTCGGTAGAAACTAATTAGGAAAGTTCAGCTCAACATTTCTGCTCGCGGTAATTTTTCAACTATGCTTCAAATGAAAGGCTGGGAACTTATATTTACCACTAGAAAGCCCATCACCCCCGCTCCGATAATGGACAACGAGGATTAAATCAATGAGCACCGCTAGTTGATCACTTCGCAAGTGAAATCGTCATTTAAAGCCCGCGGCCCAAGTTGCGGGTCGCGCTGGTCAACCTTACTATTCTTGATCGAGGGTTGCTTTGGGTTTCTTTCTTGCACGAACTAGGGTTACGGATTGTGAGAAGAAATCTGATTGGCCAGCGCACTTCCACTGAGTTCGCGAAACGTGAGCAGGGGGAAACTTTCAATATTATTCTGTGCAACATGGGACTCTCGCAACTGAACACGAGCTGGCCCCTGGTGTTTGCTGTGTCAGCAAGAAAAACAAAGCGTGGCGAAAATCTGGGCGAAACCAACTACACCCACCCCCCCAACACCTCGACTATTCTTTCTCCACCTCCCCCACCACCCAATGGTCAACCTTAGTAAGGTTGAACAACTTGGGCTGCGGGCTTTAAGATCACAAGCACAATTGGTTAGCAATCAGCTGAGTGCCCCGCTTCCATGCAACACTCGTGTACTACAGCAACTCGCCTCCACCCATGCACTCCAGCATGGCTCTCACCAGAGCATCATCCAAAAAATTCAAGCCCTGAGGAGCCTCTCCCAGCAAGCATCCCATGTCATCCATGGCCCCCAATCCACCCCCGAAGAAGCCTAACCCATCCCCAACGACAGCTTCTTCCTTAAGACTTGCTTCAGAACAAGTATAATAAGTCCGCGTGACGTCACTAGTCGGCGAGCTCGGGTTGTTAACCTTGTTCACGATAACTTCAGCCGCGCCCCCGTTGTATTCAATCCCTCGCAACTTCTTCGCAGGCGATGCCTCGTCGCACGCCGGAACGGCTTCGAAGAATTCCGCTGCGGGAACGGCAGGCGAAATCACTTGCGAGGGAAGCTGCGAAGAGACCTGCGACTGCCTTCCGCGCAAGCTTATCTCCCTTCGCAAACGCTCTGCCTCCTCCTCCATCCGCTCATTCGCAGCGCGAAGGCCTTCCACGCTCGTCTCAGACTCTTTCAGCTTCCGATTCGCCTCCTCGCGCGCTTGCGTCAGAGCCGCGACCTCTTCCTCCAGCTCGTCGAGTCGCTCGCGCTTCCGCTGCCGCGACCGCTTCGCCGACTGCCGGTTTGACATGATCCGGCGGACTTTCTTCTCCTCGTCTTCGTCGGAATCCAGTTTCGCGCTTCTCGAGGCGAAGTTGATCCCAGGAGCGCTTAGAGGGCTTGCAGCTGATATCATCATGTTGCTGAGAGGGGATACTGCCGAGATGATGCTGCTATCGAGAGGATTTACACCCGGTATAGTCACACCTGGTCCGCTGCTCAGTAAACAGCTCAATGTAAAGGATGCGGGTATTCCTACGGACGGCGGTGAAACCGCGGGTATCCCAGGAATGGAGGAAACAGGCGTATGGTGAATAGGGGCGGAAGATCGGAGGGGGGCAGCAGATAACAAAGCAGAAGTTTCAGTTAGGCCAGTGGAAGAGAAAGTCAAGGATGTTCCATTGATGCCAGCAGACGGAAATCCTACGGCTGCCAGCGGCTGCTGACGGGTGACCGTTAGATCAGCACGCCTCTGGAGCTGAGCCAGAAGGTCGACTTGACTCACAGCCTGCTTCGCCGCCTGCTTCTGAAACGCGGTCCAGTTCTGCTTCGCTGACTGGAGAGTTTGACGACCTGCAACGAGTGGAGAGACTGAGATGTTCTGCTGTGTTTGCACCGGCTGCTGCGCTTGAAAACCGGCCATGAACTGTGAAACTGCTCGATCGAAATCTTCCGAGACACGAGGACGGCAAGGGGGCCCATCGGATCGAGATTTCGAGTTCGCGGAGGGCGCGACCGGGGACGAGAGGGGCAGACGCTTGATCTCTGGAGGGAAACACATGATGGCTTTCTGTTAAATCTGCGCTTATCACGCTTTAGAGAGGTAACCGAGGGCTAGAATGAAGGGGAAGAGAAGTTACTTGAGTGAGACTGCAGGTAAGAAGAGGAAACCAGTGCGAGGAGTGAGGGCTGAGAAGGGATACTGTAGGTTTGAAGCGTGTGTGCTTGAACTGGTACGAGTGGGGGTGAATGTGAGAAAGGTAGAGAGAGGCTGGAACGGCAAGCTGGAGAAATAACGGGGGAAGGAGGGAGAGGGACTCTGGCTTGAGCTGAGCGTGGGGCCACGCAAGAGCAACGACAACTGGGGGAACTTCCACCACCACCGTTCCGTCATGGCTGGAAAACGGCTGGTAAAATCGGCTTGGGTTCGAGAAAATCAGGGAACCGATTTGATGCAGTGGCAGGGCTGCCCGCCAATCTCCACTGAGAGAACACGAATGGCATTGCTGCGCGCCATTCAATTGGGCGTAGTTACTTGAACGGATCTCAGTATGTATTCAACACTCTCAGTCACATTTTCTGCACCGAAATGGGGGTCAACGACCCGAAACTGAGTGCAGCAGACCCCTTGTGGGATCCGTTTACGTGTCCGAGGTTCATGGGAAATATGAGAACAGCCTCCCGCCTGAGGTCAAGCTGGTAGTACATCAGGAGAAGGCTGTTGTGCACTTGGTCACAGTAAACTGTAGAGCATCAGTCCTATCCATCCCAGCCTTATGACAGCAACCTTGACCATGCATTCCTTTCCTGCCAAGAAGCATGCTGGTGGGCCAAGATTGTGAGAGATTAGTGTTCAGGCAACAGCTGTTCGCAGCCTAGCATTCAATTCGAATCCCATTGGCGGGACCAACCGTGAGAAGCAGGTGCGAAGAATCATGGGAAACCTCGTCAAATGACCAAATCATCGAACCCCTGCATCCGTGCAACTGGCGGCGATGTGGAGCAACAAACTTTGCCTCTCTTCAGAACTATATACCCACCATTCGATAATATGGTGGTTCAATCATTATTTGCCGAGTGATATTGAAAGTGTTTAATTCCGACCCTGCCACTGTCGGAATAATCTCCTTATGCGCAATCGGATCTGGGGGGTATTTTGTACTTCGGCAGTGGAAGAGCATTCTAGCTATCACCCGGCGGGGACACTGATGTCCTGGGTTCTGACCAGTCGAGCGTCACCCATTTTATTTGCAGTGGAAGGAGCACCGGGGGTGCTTGGGATGTTGTTGCTCGTTGTAGAACATTTGGCTAGAAACAACAAATGATATAGGATTTGGGACTCCCCTGGGCTGGAACCCTACCTAGCATCTTTCGAATGAATTCCCAAAAGACCCTGCCCCATCAAAGATTATTTCACCTGCCTGACAGGGTGGCTTCAAAACAAAAAACAAAAGGACTGCTCAAGCAATGTAGGACAAGTATGTGAGAATCCGTCTTGTGACAGGGGGAATCCCATCCCATCCCACCGTTGCATTGCATCCCATCCCATCCTGTATGATTTCCGTTGGTGCACACCGAGCCCACAAATGAAATCTGCAGACCCAATCGACAGCTGTCAATCGCAAACAGCGTTTTGCGTTGGCAAGTCAGGATGTGAAACTCCGCTGCATAATAGTACACTTGAACTCTCTGAATCGATCAACGTTAATTGAGATGATGCAAACAGTCTCCAATTCTTCTTTTCATGTGCGCTTTTTGATCGACTATTTGAAGTGACATCTGTCGGCCTCCCGTGCAATCAAAACACTCAATAACTTTGTATGTGGTCCATGGTGTAGCAATCTTGTTGTGATTACTCAGTGACAGGTTGCTTTTTCTCCTGCGTTACTGTGTTAATCACTGGCTTGTTTTGGAGGGACAGGCGAGCATTGGGTGGGGGGTAGCGAGATGAAGGGAGTAGAAAAATATGGGCTGGAAGGGGTTGCAAAGAAACATTTGGACTTGGGACGGGGGGGGGGGTGGGGCATAGAGGTGAGGCTTGGGGACTTAGTGTGGATGAGTGTGACGCGGCAAGAGAAATCAATCTTGGGGGTGGGGGGGTGTCAAATATTATAGCCTGTAGTGGGTTGGGCTATCTGGGGTTCAACTAGTTAGGGTTAGGTGATGTACCCCAATTCTGTCAACACAACGCATTCCGCTGTAGTTCTCATTCTGACAGGGGGATATTGTGAGAAGTGGAGTGGAGGGAGGGAGTGGCAGGGGAACGGGCCGTGCGGAAGTGGTGGGAGAAACAGCACGTTTGCACCGTAGATTCTTATAGGGAGGGAGTCGCAAAATAACTGACAGTTGCTTCCTGTGAAATTCTTTACAACCTGGTTCACTCCAAAAGAGAAGGCCAAATAAAGTCCTTTATTTGATTAGTTGCCTAAAGAGACAGCAACGCTTGCTTGGATAGGAGTGGTGAGAGTGGCATTTGTTCAGTGTGGGGAGGACCTCCCCACTTCCCTTGCACCAGCCCCCCTGTCTCCGCTCCCACAAGCTCCGGACCAAAACATGTTCAGCCCAAGAGGGTCATGGTAACATGCTGCTGCTGCCACCCGCGAGCATCGAGGTGTATTTTGAGGCACCTCAAAATACAGCTCCGGACCAAAACATGTCCAGCACAAGAGGGTCATGGTAATCTGCTGCTGCTGCCACCCACTTTCTGGCCTCCTTGCCTCGCCAAGTTTATAGTCGAGCTGAAAGCAGCTTCCTTACACCACTCCCCTCTTTCCTTGCACCGCACACCCCTCCTCCTCCTCCTCCTCCTCCTCCTCCTCCTCCTCCTCCTCCTCCTCCTCCTCCTCCTCCTCCTCCTCCTCCTCGCCTTCAAGCTCCCCTGTAAACGTGTACAGCACAGAAGGGCCGTAGTCTGCACCGGCTGCCACCCACTTCAGAGCCAGGGTGTTGCCCTCACACACCCCCTCCTTTCCATTGCACCACGCCCCCTCCTCCTCCTCGCCTTCAAGCTCCCCTGTGAACGTGTACAGCACAGAAGGGCCGTAGTCTGCACCGGCTGCCACCCACTCTCTTACCTAAGTCGAGCCAAATGCATCTTCCTTACACCACTCCCCCCTTCCCTTGCACCACGCCCTTCCCCTCCTCCTCCCCCTCTCTCTCAATCTCCTGACCAAACGTGTCCAGCACAGAAGGGTCATAGTCTGCTGCTGCTACCACCCACTTTCTCGCCTCCCTGCCTCCTTGCCCAGCTTTGTAGTCGAGCCAAACACACCTTCCTTACACCACCCCCCCTTTCCCTTGCACCACGCCCTTCTCCTCCTCCCCCTCTCCCTCAAGCTCCTGTCCGAATGTATCCAGCACAGAAGGGTCGTAGTCTGCTGCTGCTACCACCCACTTCCTCGCCTCCCTGCGGTTTCCCTCTGCACTCAAGAGGCTGAGGGAGAAGGGAGAACGGGGTAGAAGTGTTTTGAGTCAACACAAAAGCACAGAAGGATCATGGTCTGCAGCTGCTCCCACCCACTTTCTCGCCTCCCTGCGGTTTCCCTCTGTGCTCAAAAGGCTGGGGAAGAACAGGGAATGAGGCGGGGGAGCAGGGGAGGGAGGGGATGGAAAAAGGAGAGAGCAGGGGCATGGGATGGGAAAGGGGGAAGTCAGAGGCAGGGGGAGGAGAGAAAGGTTCAGCATGACCTGTGAGCATAAAAAACATTTCGGTACAACTTACCGCAAAAATAATCCATCACACGGGATTGCAATGATTGTAAAGATTAAATTCAACAGCACTACCTTGCGACGGCCAGCATGGCCGCGGGTCACACTATGCCAAGAAACAGCCCATTCCACGTTCTTATCAGCTGCTACCACACTACCTTGCGAGGGCCAGCATGGCCTGTGCGTGTCGCCGGCGGTTCAGAGGGTCTCGCCTCTGCTCCCCCTCCAGCACCGTTTCTGCTGCCACTTGCAGCAGTGCCTTTGCCTCTAAAGGGCGGCTCTGGGGGAGAGGGGAAGGGAGTCACGACAAAACGAGGGAAGAGGTGAGGGGGTGGATGGAGGGTCTCTCGTCTGCTCCCCCTCCAGCACCGCCTCTGCTGCCACTTGCAGCAACGCCTTTGCCTCCAAAGGACAGCTCTGGATGAAGAGGGATGAAGCGAAGCAAGGGAGGAGGTGAAGAGGAGAGAGAAGAGTGGCGTTTAAGAGGGTCTCTCCTCTGCTCCCCCTCCAGCACCGCCTCTGCTGCCACCTGGAGCAGTGCCTTGGCCTCTGACGGACGGCTTTTGTGTGAGAGAGGGGTGGGGTGAAGGGATGGAGCAGGAGAGCGAGGGTTGACAGTGTAATGCAGGACTGCTCTGCTCAATGGAAACACTAACTCTTGGGCCTCTCTTCACTTAGCAATGAAGCCAAGTGACTTTTGAATGCCTCATGGGCTTCCCATCAATCTAATTGTGATTCTCACGTGCATGTGCATGTGCATGTGCATGTGCATGTGCATCTGCATGTGCATGTGCATGTGCATGTGCATGTGCATGTGCATGTGCATGTGCATGTGCATCTGCATGTGCATGTGCATGTGCATGTGCATGTGCATGTGCATGTGCATGTGCATGTGCATCTGCATGTGCATGTGCATGTGCATCTGCATGTGCATGTGCATGTGCATCTGCATGTGCATGTGCATGTGCATCTGCATGTGCATGTGCATGTGCATCTGCATGTGCATGTGCATGTGCATCTGCATGTGCATGTGCATGTGCATGTGCATGTGCATACAGACAGGACCGGATGTAATCAACGTGCCAGCACTGGAATCCACATTCTGTGCCAATGCACCCACAACCTACCCCACCTGCACTGCAGCACCAATGCCCCTACCTCACCTCAACCCACCTGCTGTGCCAATGCCACACCCGCGCCCAGGTGAGCTGCCAGCTGTACTGCCACGTCAGGACGCTCCTGCAGGGAATGTGGTAGAAGAAAACGGTGTAAGTGCGAAGCAGTGCGGAAGGCCTTCACAAAAAAGGAATGGAGCAGGAGGATGAGGAGGATGAGGATGAGGAGGAGGATGATAGACCTCAGCACTGAGCCTGGTGAGGGTAAGTAAGCAAGTACCTTGGAGTGGTTAATCGCCTGGGAGAAGCATTCAGCTGCCTCCACCCACCGCGCTGCACCGCTGTCTGTCTGACCCAATTGCATGTAACCTTGATAGCTAACACCTCTGAAGGATTCAAGTACCTTAGAGTGGTTTATTGCCTGGGAGAAGCATTCAGCTGCCTCCACCCACCGCCCTGCACCGCTGTGCATCTGACCCAATCCCAGCCATGCAGAGGATGCTGATTGGTCAATCTCCAGAACACGCCTGGCGGGAAGGAGGAGGTTGGAAGATGTAGAAAGGCAAAGCGTGACACTAAACACTTGTTGCTTAAAGACTTTGGTGCTCCAGATTTTTTAGCGGAGTCAGTCAGGCATAAAAAATATGTAAATATAGAAGCGTGTTTGCACTGATAAAAAAGCCAGGAAGAAAGTACTTTCGACGCCATCAAGAGAAAGAAACAAGTGGCCTAAGGATGACACGAGACAGGTAGGCATGTGGCGGCAACAAGCTGAATGCGTCTTTTGAGAATTCTTGCAAAACACATTCGTCAAGCAGCTAAAGAAGGGCATGGGTGAGGTGAGGTGGGCATGTGACAGCAAGTTGCTGTCAGCAACAACGGATGCACACTCAAGATTTTAGCGGAAACATGATACCAGCGGAGGTGGTTTTTGAGGGAATATAATCTCAAAAACCACCTCGATTTTAGCGGAAACATAATACCAGCGGAGGAAACCAGACAAGATTTTCCCCAACTTTCACACCTCAGAGCGCAAGCAGCTAGATCCACGCTGCCTGCCGCCTTGAGTTGTGCTGCAGCCTGTTATAAAGGGGATGACAGAGAAGATATCCTGGCAGTTAAGAATTTGACAGTCAAAGTTACTAAGTACGGCGGCAGAAGAGCACAATAAACGGCCCTTTACTGGCAAAAGACCCGATACCCTTAATAACTTTTGAGGCGCCTCAACAGTGAAGTGAGCAGCCAGGAGGAGCGGTGCTCCACAAATTACAACCAGGAGTCCAGATCTTGCAGAGAATTAGTAAGGTATACTGTGGCCGTACAGTCGCAAGCATTGCGTTTCGTGTCTCACGATGTCTATGGTTCTGAGACGTCTAAAAGAAAACATCCGCGAGATTAATAATATAGGCGACCTCTTTTGAGTCAACTAAAAGACAAAACATCCGCATGATTAATAATCTAGGCGACTTCTGAGTCGACTTATAAGTCACTTTGAGACGTCTCTCAAGACTAAATTAGTATCAGTGGAATTAAAAGGGCCTCTTGGCCATACAGTCCCATAATACTTACAGTCTCATGCCTGGCGTTTCAAAATTTCAGACTTATACAAGCAAAGGTGCATTCGGAACGTCTATCAGCCATGGGGATCTGTCAGTTGTGCAGAAAAGGGAACCCCACAACTGTTTTTTGAGAAAAGGGAAACCAATCACAAAAGGGATTCTCAGAAAAGGGAACCCCACAACCGACAGTTTTTCCTAGACCCCTACAAACCAATCACAAAAGGGACTCACCACAAGCAAAGTATGTGGGTTTGTCATCCGCGCAATCTCCTGCTCTGATATCAACCCCCCCACACTCCCCGCGCCTCCAAAACTGGTGGCATCACCATTCCCAGCACCATTCGCAGCAGCAGCAGGGCTAGAGGATGCAGCAGCCCGAGCGTGATACTGCTGCTGCAAGGCTTGTAGCTGTGCCATGGTGGGCAGACCTAAGGCTTGACGGATGGTGGGGGATCTGAGTGCCAATGCCTGGGGAGACAGGGGAGAGAGAAAAGGGGGAGAGCGGGGACATAATGGTTTCAAGCGGTGCAAGGCCTGTAGCTGTGCCATGGTGGGCAGGCAGACCTACGGCTTGACGGATGGTGGGGGATCGCAGAGCCAATGCCTGCGGATAAGGGGAGAAAAAGGGAGAAACAGGAGACAGACACAGTGGTTCAGAGCGGTGCATCATCGAGGTGCTATGGCTGAATGCTGAATGGCCTGTAGCTGTGCCATGGTGGGCAGGCAGGCCTACGGCTTGATGGATGGTGGGGTACCGGAGTGCCAAGGCCTGCGGAGAGTGGAGTGAAGGAAGTGTGGACAGAGTGGTTCAAAGCGGTGCACTACGATGGTGTTCTGGCTTCATGCTGCATGGCATGCAGGTGTGCGATGGGGGGCAGGCTGAGAGGCAAGGCAAGGCGAAGGCAATGGATGACTTTTGAGACGTCTCAAAAGCTGAGAGGCAAGGCAAGGCAAGGCGAAGGCAATGGATGAGGGAACTGGAGTGCCAAGGCAAAGGGGCGAGGGGGGATACAGAGGTGCGGCAGGGGATAAGGGGGGGTTTAAAACAGTGCAGTGTGGTGGTTATATGGCTTAACAACAGATTCATGCGGAGGAGAGATACAGGGGCGTGCAGTGGCATGGAGAGGGATGAAGGAGTTGGACGGGAAGGGAGGAGAAGGGATGGGAGGGAAGGTAGGAGAAGGAATCTCATGGCATGAGAAGGGATGGGAGGAGATGGCAAGGGATGAGAAGGAAGGGACGATAAGACATGGGAAGGCGAGGTAGGTGAAAGAATTGGATGGGATAAGAAGGGATGGAAAGAGATGGCAAGGGACGAAAAGGGTGGAAGGAATGGGAAGGATGGGAAGGGAAGATGCAGGAGAGGTAGGGATGGGAGGTGAAGGGATGGGAAGTGAAGGGAGGGGGAGTGAAGGAAATGATGGGAAGGGATGCAGAGGGGTAGGGTGGGCACCTGAGCGAGAGTGAAGGTGTTGTTGGTAAGCCAGTACACGTGCACTGCCTGGGGTGTGGGGAAGGAGGAGTGGACAACAGTGAAACGAGTTAAAGAGGGGTAGAAAGAGGTGGAGGTGGATAAACAGGTATGATGATGAGCGAGAGTGAAGGTGTTGTTGGTGAGCCAGTACACGTGCACTGCCTGGGGTTTTGTGGGTAAGGGGGAGTGGAGAGAGGTGAAACAGGTTGAAGCGGCTGAAATGCAGTAGAGGGTGCTTAACATCCAACATCCAACATCCCAACATCCCAACATCCCAACATCCAACATCCCAGCAGTCTGCTTTTGAGTCGACTCAAAAACATCCCAACATCCCAACATCCCAACATCCAACATCCCAACATCCAACATCCCAACATCCCAACATCCCAACATCCAACATCCCAACATCCAACATCCCAACATCCCAACATCCAACATCCAACATCCCAGCAGTCTGCTTTTGAGTCGACTCAAAAACATCCCAACATCCCAACATCCCAACATCCCAACATCCCAACATCCCAACATTCCAACATCTCAACATCCAACATCCCAACATCCAACATCCCAACATCCAACATCCCAGCAGTAGAGGGTGCAATGATGACAGGACAAACATCCAAGGCGCTGCCCCTGCCATGACTTTTGAGTCGACTCAAAAGTCACCTCGGTTGAAATGCAGTAGTGGGGGCTTAACAGGCGCGTTGGACAACACCCAATCCAACGCACTGCCCCTGCTGCCCCTGCGCTAACATACCATCCCAAACCAGTGGCCTGCTGAAACCACCTGCTACAATCACCTCCAACAGTCATTTCCTAAACTACCTGGGGAACGTTGAGTGCAGCATAGAGAGTTGGGAGAGTGAGGAATTCAAGAGGAGTCTAGTTCAGAGGCGCCTCAAGACTAGTTTGAAAGCTGCAGTTACTTGTTGCTGGCATCACCTGGTATAGACTATAGTCACCTGGGCTGGGGAACGTTGAGTGCAGCATAGAGAGTTGGGAGAGAGAGGAGGAACCACGTGTAGAAAGAGTAGTTTTGAGACGTCTCAAAATTAAAATCACCTGGGGAACGTTGAGTGCAGCATAGAGAGTCGGGAGAGTGAGGAATTCGAGGAAGGTTCGGTAGGCCTGGTGTGGGTGGGCAGGGCCGAGTGACGGTGGGGGAGGGAGAGAGGAGGGAAGGGGACTGAGGGGAATGAGATGGGTGGAGTGGATGGGGAGGAGAGGAGGAGTTACAGAAGGCTTCAGAAGGCTTTGTGGGAGTCACGGAAGTGGAAGGAGAGGAGAAGGGGGGGAATGAAAAGAGGGGGTGGATCGAGAGAAGGGGAAGGAGATGAAGAGTGAAGCTCAGCACACACAAAAGAATACACGCATGAGCATTGACAAGAATAATTCAGTCATTCTTAAGCACCTGCTGCCACCGGCACCCCTCAGCACTCACCACCAGCACCCCAGCCCAGCACCCCTTAGCACCCTGCAGCTCTCCTCAGCACAACTCAGCACCCCTCACCAGCATGGCCTTGTCAGACGCAGTGTGCACACCCATCTTGTGCAGCGGCATCATCACCTATACGCCCTTGCACAGAGAGAGAGAGGGAGAGCAGAGGGAGGGAACAGGAAGCAGGGAGAGGGCACGCAGACGGAGGTGGGGAAGGGAAGGTAAGATGGTGATGCTGTGGTGAGTGCACCCATCTTGTGCCGCGGCATCATCACCTACACGCCCTTGCACAGAGAGAGACAAGGAGAGGAGAGGGAGAGAGAAACGTGCGAGGGTGGGGGGGAAGGTGGGGGGTGTGAAGTAGGGAGTTAGATGGCAGGGCTGTGGGTGCTCGCAACACCCATTTTGTGCAACGGCATCATCACCTACGCGTCCTTTCTCAGAGAGAGACAAGGAGAGCAGAAGGAGAGGGATACGTAAGGCGGGGTGGGGGATGAAGGGGCAGGGAATGAGATGGCAAAGTTGCTGTGGGTGCACGCAACACCCATTTTGTGCAGCGGCATCATAACTTACGCGCCCTTGCACAAGAAGAGACGAAGAGGGTAGAGGGAGGGCAACGGGAGCAGCAGCAGTGAAGTGGCTGTGAATTGGCTGTAGTTGCTTTCTCGCAATTCCCATCCTGTGCATTGGCATCATCAATTACACGCCCTTGCACAGAGACAGAGAGAGCAGAGAAAGTCAGAGAGAGCAAATGCACCTGCAGCGAGGAGTAGAATGATCCAGCGATGAAGAGGGGAAAGACCCAACCCAGCACGCCTTGAGGGAACGCTGTGAGGTCCTCGAACCACAGACACCCGCCCTGGTAGGGGCAAAGGGAGCACATGATTGTGGGGGTTAGGAGATGTGAAGTCCTAAAAATCCGAGATCCCTGTACCACAAATAGGAGATGCGATATCCTTGTTAGGGAAAACAAGCAAATAGGAGATGCGATATCCTTGTTAGGGAAAACAAGCAAATAGGAGATGCGATATCCTTGTTAGGGAAAACAAGCAAATAGGAGATGCGATATCCTTGTTAGGGAAAACAAGCAAATAGGAGATGCGATATCCTTGTTAGGGAAAACAAGCAAATAGGAGATGTGATATCCTTGTACCACAGATGAGACACCCCGCCCTGACTGAAAGGCAAATAGGCAATGAGGGGGCCGCCGTCGTGATGGCACGTAATGCGAGGCACGCTTTGAGTCGTCTCAAAACACGGGATGCCACCATGATGATACGTTATGTGAGCCAAGTAATCCCGCAGTGAGAACTGAACAGCTATAATGATTGAACCAGCTAGTGCTGGGTGTGTCGAGTAGGGAATGTGACGCGCGGTGATGATCCAAACTACACCCACCACATGAAGGCTGAAGCTAGTGTTTTTGAGACGTCTCAAAAACAACCTCGCTTCACGAGGGAATGTGCGGCGCGGTGATGATCCAAACAACACCCACCACATGAAGGCTCAAGCTAGTGTTTTTGAGACGTCTCAAAAACAACCTCGCTTCACGAGGGAATGTGCGGCGCGGTGATGATCCAAACAACACCCACCACATGAAGGCTCAAGCTAGTGCATTTTTTAGTCGAATAACTATGAACGTACACATGGGAGTCACTGCCACTCACCACATCGAATCCCGGGTGCGCTGATAGCGCCATGTGACGCATGGTGAAGATCCAAACAATAACACCCACCACATGAAGGCTGAAGCTACTACTTGAACACACACATGGGGAAGACTGCCACTCACCACATCGAATCCTGGGTGCGCTGATAGCGCCATGTGACGCATGGTGAAGATCCAAACAATAACACCCACCACATGAAGGCTGAAGCTACTACTTGAACACACACATGGGGAAGACTGCCACTCACCACATCGAATCCTGGGTGCGCTGATAGCGCCATGTGACGCATGGTGAAGATCCAAACAATAACACCCACCACATGAAGGCTGAAGCTACTACTTGAACACACACATGGGGAAGACTGCCACTCACCACATCGAATCCTGGGTGCGCTGATAGCGCCATGTGACGCATGGTGAAGATCCAGGTGAAGAAGAGTGGGATCTGGTGGGATGCGGTGGGATGGCATGGCATGGGGTAGCAGTGGGAGTGAGGGAGGGAACGGGTGAATACTTTCCCAAAGGGGTAGGGAAGACCATGTGAAGATCCAGGTGAAGAAGAGTGGGATATGGTGGAATGCGGTATGAGTGGGAGGGTGGAAAGGAGTGGAGAAGTGCTTAAGGCGCTTCAAATGTTGAAGACCCAGGCGAAAAAGAGTGCTATCCTGTGGCATACCTATGGTAGGAAAGTGACAATGATTGCTCAGGATAGTGACAACTGAACGCCTAAAAAGAAGAAGAAAAAACAAACCAAACCATTACAGTGAACGGTCAGAGATGACAACTGAGTCAGTTCTAGAGCATTACATACAGGGTGGGTGTGAAGCAACTGACTCAAAGCAACATTTGTCCCAATATTCCCATTTTTCCCACAGAAAGCACAGCCCCAGCTTTTCCGCCCTACCTGCACAGCAGAAGCCGCGAGCAGCCAGAGTGCGGAGTAAACAGTTGAATGGCTGCTCGCGGCTCCTGCTGTGCGGAGGGCGCATTCAACTGTGTTCTCCTCCTCTGCTTCAGCGCTCATGCTCTCCTCACACACACTGCGGACCAACCAACCGTTACTCACACTCTCTCACTCCCCCTCACTTCACCCTTCTTCCACCCTACCTGCACAGCAGGAGCAGCGAGCAGCCAGAGCGCAGAGGGCGCGTTCAACTGTTTCCTCCTCCTCTGCCTCAGCGCCCATGCCTGCTGCCATGTCATGCCACTGCCAGGGAGAGGGAAGGGCGGGGGCACTGGGAGAGACGGGGAGGTGGGGAGGAGGACAGGAGGGAAACAGCACGAGTTGGGATCAGTACATGGCCCGCCCCTCTCGTCCGCCTTCTCCTCCTCTGCCTCAGCGACCATGCCTGCTGCCATGTCATGCCACTGCCGGGGAGTGGGAAGGGAGGGGGCACTGGAGGGGAAGGGGAGAGGGGGAGGGGGACAGGAGGGAGAGTGCGTGAGCAGGAAATTTTCGTACGTGGCTCGCCCAACTCTCCGTGTAGAGAGGGTGTTTTTGTACGTGTCAAAAATACCACGTCTCAAAAATACCCTCTCTACACGTGGCTTTTCGTACGTGGCTTGCCCTACTCTCCTCCTCCTCTGCCTCATGGCCCACGCCTGCTGCCATGTCATGTTACTGCCGGGGAGACGGAAGGGCGGGGCACTGGGGCGAGGAAGGGGCGGTGAAGAGTGGTGGGGATGGGGAGAGGGGCAGGAGGATAGGAGCGTGAGTGCGTGAAAAGGAGATTTTTGTAGGTGGCTCGCCCGTGGCTTTTCGTACATGGCTCGCTCTACTTCTCCTAAGACGATTTTTGAGGCGCCTCAAATTTCGTACGTGGCTCGCTCGCCCTACTTCTCCTCCCACGCCACGCCTCTGCTTCAGCACTCATGCTTGTTGCCATGCCCTGCCTCCTTGAGGTCGTTTTTGAGGCGCCTCAAAAGCCTCAAAAGGCGCCTCAAAAACGACCTCATGCTTGTTGCCATGTGTAGTAAGTCGATTTTTGAGTCGACTCAAAATTTGTCCTGCCTCCTTGAGGTCGTTTTTGAGGCGCCTCAAAAACGACCTCATGCTTGTTGCCATGGCCTGCCTCCTCCTCACTTAAGCATGATTCAGCAAAGCGATGCGGCGTACATTTGGGTCCCAGGGCATCGAGCCACGAGCTGATGCTCATCTGATCTGATGCCACGTGAGGGGGAAGAGCGCGAGGGGGAGAGCGTGAGGGGGAAGAGCGCGAGGGGGAGAGTGTGAGGGGGAAGAGCGCGAGGGGGAGAGTGTGAGGGGCGGGGGAATGCAGAGTTGTGTGTCTATGCAGTTTAAGAAGAGAAAACAAAAGAGGGGGTGGCGTACATGTATGTATGCCCCAGTGCGGCGAGCTGCGAGCGGATGCTCATCTCATGCCACGTGAGGGGGAAGAGCGTAAATCGGGGCGAGTAAAGAGCGTGTGTCAAAGAAACTTCTGGATAGAAGGAGGAATCGGCATACATTTGGGTCCCAGGGCGGCGAGCTACAAGCTGATGTAGCTCATTTGATGCCACCCACGTGAGGGGGAAGAGTGAGAGGCGGAGAGAGTGAGGCAGGTGATTATAGTTATAGAGAGTGTGCCTAAGTCGCACTTGGATAAAAAGGGGAACGTGACATACGTTTGGGTCCCAGGGCAGCGAGCTGGGAGCTGATGCTCATCTGATGCCACGTGAGGGGGAAGAGCGCCAGGCGGAGAGCGAGGGTGGAGCCAATCAGCGTGAGCCACCTGGCATGACAGAGAGAAATTGTGGCGGGTGTGTGCATGAGCAAAGAAGAAAAGAAAGCATACAAGTACATAACGGACAATTTGCAACGTTAAAAAGCCATGGCATTACTGAGTCGAGTTTTGAGTCGACTCAAAACATGGCATTACTGAGTCGAGTTTTAAGTCGACTCAAAACATGGCATTACTGAAGAAAAGACGGTCGATTCATTCGTAGAAAAGAACGAGCATTGTCGGGCAATCAGGTGAGTTTTGAAACTTCCAACTCAGAAGCGAACACTGTCAGGCAATGCGAGTCTCACCAGTGGGCTCCTGTGGTGGCTTGTATCGAGGACACCATTTGAGTCACAGCGTCTACAGGCACACCCAGCCACGCCCAGCCACCCAACCACCCTGCTGCCCCCGCTGCTGCTCCCACTGCTCCTGTTGCGTCTCCCCCCCTCCCTGCGCCTACTGCTGCTGCAGCGTCTATCAAACCATCAGAATCTGATCCTGACGACCCTGCGTGTGCTTCGTCACCCCTCCACTGAACCCAGTCTTGAGACCTTTCAAATCCTGACCCTCGCTCCTGGGGTTCTGAGTCACGGTCCCAGGTGTTTAGAGTGGTGATACTGTGGTTGCCAGCTGCTTCTGATGCGTTATAGGAGGACTCGCTATGGGACGATCTGTTATCAGATGCTTCGATTTGGAGTGGCAGGAGCGTGTCACTTGCGAATCCTCGTGTGCTTAGAAGGTAGTGGTGTGGCGGATAGCTGCGTACAAAGTGGGAGTTGTATAAGAGGTGACAGCTGAAGCGTAACCGTAGGTGTGCTTGGCTTAACAGGGGTTGGCTAGACGGTGATTGGTTGAAAATGGTTCGGCTGGACAGTGATTGGTTCTCAGCAGATCCGATGAACGGCGACGATGGCCTGATGACTGATGGGCTTGGCAGGGAAGCACCAGTGGCATTTTGACACGTCACTGATTGGCTGGAGGATGGGATTGGCGAATCGACCAACGGGGCTGCTGCTGACGTGTCAAGTGGCCGGTTGGGTGAGGGAAAGACGGAGGGCCAATGAGAGACAGACACGGGAGAGGGGGATTGGGTTGAGGAAATCCGAGAAATGGAAGGTTCGGGAGAGGTGAGTCGAGCAAAGGAGGGAGAGGAGGGAGAGGAGAAGTGAGAAGCACGAAGGGAGGAGGATGAGGAGGAGGATGAGGCGGAGGAGGGTGAGTGAGAGATTAAAGCTGGCAGGAGGCGGGAGTGGGGAGAGGAACGGCGGCGAAGGGCGGAGAGGCGGCGCAGGAGAAGCGGTGACGGCATTGGATTCGTGATGTTCGAATCTGTAATGACTCGTTTGGGTGAGTCTTCCTGCCACTGAAGCAGCGTCGGATTCACAGCGCTGGTCGAGTTTAGCACTGGAAGGGCTGTCGAGGCGCGTCAAGTCCGCAAGTTGAAACGTGGAGAGCTGAGATGAATCGGTGAAAGCGAGCGACACGCGGAAATGAGAATGACGGCTGCGAGGTGAAGCGACGCGGAGTATGGGAAGTGAGATGCAACGGGGGGTGCTCCCTGGAGATCAGCCCCTGACTGTGGCTATTTCGATGGTGAGCTTTCCGCGACAGGAACTAGGCTTGGTCCAAGTCGCCGCCTACTAAGTTGAATGCGAAGCTCGAGGACGCATTCTCTCCAAGTCTCAGCCCTATCAATTTCGGATCGGTCTGAAACAAAGACGCACGAGATTTCGCGTCAAGGGCAAATGTCAGTCTCGTAGGACAATCTTCAATTTTGGGTTCGAAAATATCTGTTTCGAGCTTCTCAAAAAGAACACGCTGTCAACTTGATGTTTTCTGTACATCAGGATGTATACGCCATTTCATTGAAGTGTATCAATTTCGGCTCGAGGGCTTATTGCGAAGCTGGTTATTCGAGGTCTCTAGAACCCTATTCCCTGTGTTCTAGATTCTAGATTCTAGAACCTAGCCTAGAACCTCTCTTCTTGAGGCTTCTCGAGGCATTCTGATCCACCGTAACTCTTACGAGAGAGGCCTATAAAGTCAGTGCGATCATCTGTTCCAGGTCTTATTATAGAATCCTTGTCACGTAAATTTTACGTAATTTCGGCAACAATTAGCGGGCCCACTACTACTGCACAGACTTTTATTTTCGTGCACAATTTACTCCACTACCCCATATTTTCCTTCAAACTTTTACCCTCTTCTAAACCGCCGCAATGGCCACGTCAGCGCCAGCGATTCCAGACATTGGCCAGGCAGTGGAAGATCTCTCCGCTCGAGTCGCCGCGGAGATTAACGGCGGCGCCGATTCCGCCGATTCCGCCTCCGCGGAAGCCGCCGCCGCCGCTGCGTCCGCTGCGGCGGGGCCTCCGGCGGTGGACGAGATCGAGAGCCTGTGCATGCGGTGCCACGAGCAGGGCACGACGCGGCTCCTGCTGACACGTGTCCCGCATTTTCGGGAGCTCGTGATCATGGCGTTCGAGTGCCCGCATTGTAACGAGTCCAACAACGAGGTACAGTTCGCCGGGTCGTTACAACCCGCCGGCGTACGGTTCTCCCTTTCCGTACCGGTCTCCGCGGAAGGAGCAGCCGAGGAAACCATAGACTCCCACGAGGCGCTGATGAACCGCCAAGTGGTAAAATCCGATTCGGCGACGATCCGCATTCCGGAGATCGACTTTGAGATTCCGCCCGAGTCGCAGCGCGGCACGCTCACCACAGTGGAGGGCGTCTTGACCCGCGCGCACGACGGGCTCGGCGCGCTGCAAGCGGAGCGCCGCGCGGCGGACGCCGCCGTCGCCGCCGCAATCGACGAATTCCTCGCGAAGCTGAAATCCTGCATCGACGGCTCACGCGCGTTCACGCTCGTGCTAGACGATCCGTCGGGTAACAGTTACGTCGAGAACCCGCGCGCTCCGGAGCCCGATCCGATCCTGAAAGTTGAGCATTACGAGCGCACGGCAGAGCAGAACGAGAAGCTAGGGTTTCTCGCGGCTCCCGCGGGCGCGGGGGAAGACGGGGAAGCGGGGGAAGGTTCAGGGGGAGGCGCAGCGGGGGATCCGACCAAGCTTCCGCACGGGTCGGTGGGTGCTGAGCTGGCGTACCGCGCGATTGCCGGCGGGAATAACGCGGACCTGGCGAGTAACGCGCTGCTGTGCGGGTACTCCGCGCCCGAGGAGGTGATGGTGTTCCCCGCCACCTGCAGCGCGTGCGGCGCTAGCGGCCCGGCGAGCGGCGCGGAGGGCAGCGCGAAGAGCGGCGCAGCGAGTGATCCGGCGAGTGGCGGGTCGAGTGGCGCGACTGGGGACGGGGGGGAGGAGGATGGGGAAAAGGTGGACGCAGAGGGGAAGGCGGAGGGGGGAGCGGAAGGGGGAGCGGAGGGAGAAGCAGCACACGTGGACGAGGTCTGCGTGACGCGCATGTTCGCGACGCGGATTCCGTATTTCAAGGACGTCATCCTGATGGCCACGTCATGCGACGCGTGCGGGTATAAGAACTCCGAACTTAAAGCGGCCGGCGGCGTCGCGCCTAAGGGACGCAAAATCACCCTCACGGTCCGCAACCAGAAGGATCTATCCCGCGATATAATTAAAGCCGAATCCGCGGCGGTGTATATCCCCGAAATTGAATTAGAACTAGGCGCTGGGACTCTAGGCGGACGCGTGACTACAGTGGAGGGGCTTGTAACGGAAATCGCGGACAGCTTGAAACGGATCCGGCCGTTTGAGATCGGGGACAGCGCGCCCGAGTGGCAGAGGAGCAAATGGCAGGATTTGGATAAGCAGCTGCGCGCGCTGGCTGCTGGTGAACCTGTGAGCGTGAAACGTAACAGAGCCGGTGCTGGTGCTAGTGGTGCTGGGAATGAGAATGAGTCAGGAGCTAAGAGGAAGTCGGAGAACGAGAAGGGAGAATCGGGGGAGGGAGGGGGGGTGGAGGAGGCGGAGGGGGAGGAGATGGAGGAGTTGACGGAGTGGCATTTGGTGCTGGACGACGCGTTGGCGAACTCGTTCGTGTCGTTTGTGGGCGAGCGACTGGAGGACGATGGGCAGGTGCAGGTAGAGGAGTATGTGCGGTCGTGGGAGCAGGATGAGGAGCTGGGACTGCATGACATGCGGACAGGGGAGGAGCATGGGCAGGGCAAAGCTGAGCTGGAGGCGATTCAAGAGTGACTGTCCAGTAGATTTGAAGGCAAACAGACGAAAGTGCAAGTGGAGGAGTATGTGCCGTGGTGGGAGCAGGACGAGGAGCTGGGGCTGCATGACATGCGGACTGAGCAGCAGCATGTGGAGGGGGAAAGCGAGCTTGATTTGATTCAGGAATAACTGACCAGTAGGCTTGAAGGCAAGAAGGTAAAAGTTCAGGTGGAGGAGTATGTGCGGTGGTGGGAGGAGCAGGATGAGGAGCTGGGGCTGCATGACATGCGGGTGGGGGAGGAGCATGTTCAGGAGGAAAAGGTGACAGAGGAGAAGAGTGATTTGGAGTCGATTCAAGAGTGACTGACTGGTAGGCTGGAGAATGGGAAGACGCAGAGGCAAGCAGGTGAAAGTGCAGGGTATGTATGTGTGTTTGTGGGAGCACGACGAGGTGCTGGGGCTGCATGACATGCACACAAGGGAGGAGCAGGGACGTGGTGGGCCGTAAACAAATTTATCGTAAAAGTAAGGCCTGCCCTGATCATGGCAAGCAGATGGGCGTGACGAGGGGAAGAATGGGAAGACTGGGTTGCATTGCAGGAATGCAGGATTTGGATTGGTTGATAGCTACTCTTAAAATGCAGGCGCTCTTGTGATGCAGGCCTGGTGGGGTCCAATCTTAAGCAGAGCAGGATTGCTATACTGGAATCTATGTCACAAGCGTGTTAGATGTTGCCCACTACATCTTGTAACCCCAAGATTTAGAAGTCTATGACTCAGCCTTTAAACCTCACCATTTGAGGCTGCCCCTTGTCGCCTTAGGTCTTGGTCAGAATTCCACCCCGGTCTGTGTCAGAAGGTCCAGGGCCCCCAGAGCTTTTGGCAGGTTTTCACTTGCAATACAGACGATTGATGTTATTCATTATTTTACAGCTCCTAGCACTTCATTATGGCTGGTCTCCAGCCTCGAAGCGCCCAGACCCCAAAATTCACCCGTCTTCACGAACTCTCCGTCCTTTCCGTCCCTTGCACACCACGCGAGAAAGGGTAACCCGTCGCCATCACCGCAGCCCTCCTCTTTTCTCGAACCGCATTTCGGAGCGGAATTGGAGGTTCAAATTGAGCAGCCAGAATTGCTCGAAAACACAAACCAGCTATCTCCACCTCTCCAACCCCGTATTCACCAGCCCTGATAGGAACCACCTTCCGT